CCCCAATGTCCCCAATGACCCCCCAATGTCCCCCCAATGTCCCCCAATGTCCCCAATGTCCCCCCGTGTCCCCCGAGTCACCCCAGGCCACCCCCTCCTGAGTGTCCCCAATGGTCCCCAATGCCACTCCCATGTCCCCAATGCCCCCAATGTCCCCTCCTGTCAGGCCACCCCAGCCCCAGGTGTCCCCAATGCCCCCAAGGCCACCCTCATGTCCCCAATGTCCCCAATGTCCCCAATGTCCCCAATGCCCCCAATGTCCCCCATGTCCCCAATGTCCCCCATGCCCCTGTCCCCGATGTCCCCGCAGTTGTCCCCAAGCCCCCACAGCTCCCTGGCCTCCGGCGTCCCGATGTCCCCTCGGTTGTCCCCGAGCCCCCGGTCCCCGAGGTCCCCCCGTCCCAGCTGTCCCCTGCCAGCGCCCCCGCCGTGCCCCGCAGGGTCCAGGCCAGCAGGGCCAGGCGCCGACGCAGCTCCTCGATGTCCCCAATGTCCCCCAATGTCCCCTCTGTCCCCTCTGATGTCCCCAATGTCCCCTCTGTCCCCAATGTCCCCAATGTCCCCTCTGTCCCCAATGTCCCCAATGTCCCCTCGGTGTCCCTTCTGTCCCCTCTGTCCCCCCTGTCCCCAATGTCCCCAATGTCCCCTCTGTCCCCTCTGTTCCCTCTGTCCCCTCTGTCCCCTCTGTCCCCTCTGTCCCCAATGTCCCCTCTGTCCCCTCTGTCCCCTCTGTCCTTCTGTTCCCTCTGTCCCTCTGTCCCCAATGTCCCCAATGTCCTCTGATGTCCTCTGTCCCCTCTGTCCCCAATGTCCCCAATGTCCCCTCTGTCCCCTCTGTCCCCTCTGTCCCCAATGCCCCCAATGTCCCCTCTGTCCCCCTGTCCCCAATGTCCCCTCTGTCCCCTCTGTCCCCTCTGTTCTCTCTGTCCTCGGTGTCCCCTCTGTCCCCAATGTCCCCGTGCTGTCCCCTCTGTCCCCTCTGTCCCCTCTGTCCTCTCTGTCCCCTCTGTCCCCAATGTCCTTGGTGGTGTCCCCTCTGTCCCCAATGTCCTTGGTGGTCGTCCCTCAGGTCCCCAGGGTCCCCAGCTGGGCCACCAGCGCGGGCAGGGTGTGGCCCCCCCGGCCCAGCAGGACGTGGCGGAACGGGGACACCAGAGGGGACACGAGCGGGGACAGCAGGGACGCCTCGACCTGGGGACAGAGGGACACGGTCAGGGGACAGCAGAGGACACTGAGGGGACAGAGGGGACAGGGATGAGGGACACAAAGAGAGGACACCAGAGGGGACACTGAGACGGAGGACAGCAGGGACGCCTCGACCTGGGGACAGAGGGACATGGTCAGGGGACACTGGGAGGGACACCAGGGAGGACACGGTCAGGGGGACATTGAGGGGACACAGAGAGGGACAGGGAGAGGAGGGACAGAGGACGAGGGGACACCGAGGGGACAGGGAGGACAGAGGGGACACAAAGGGGACACCAGAGGGGTTGCGAGCAGGGACAGCAGGGACGCTTCGGCCTGGGGACAGAGGGACATGGTCAGGGGGACAGCGAGGGGACAGGAGAGGGACTGAGAGGGGACACAAGGGGGACACCGAGGGGACAGGGAGGGACAGGGATGAGGGGACACAAAGGGGACACCAGAGGGGACACTGAGCGGGACAGCAGGGACGCCTCGGCCTGGGGACAGAGGGGACACGGTCAGGGGACAGGGAGGGGACAGGGACACAGGGACACCGGGGGACACAATGAGGGGACACGAGGGGACAGGACAGGGAGGGGACAGCTAGGGGACACTGAGGAGGACAGAGGGACACTGAGGGACAGGGAGGGACAGAGGGGACACTGAGGGGACAGGGACGAGGGGACACAAAGGGGGACACCAGAGGGGACACGAACGGGGACAGCAGGGACGCCTCGGCCTGGGGACAGAGCGGGGACACGGTCAGGGGGACAGGGAGGGGACAGGGAGGGGACAGGGATGAGGGGACACTGAGGGGACACTGGGGGGGACAGAGGGGACACCAGGGGACACAGGGACACGGTCAGGGGGACATTGCAGGGACAGACGCGGACAGGGAGGGGACAGGGGGACATGGTCAGGGGGACACCGGGGGGACAGGGAGGGGACAGAGGGGACACGAGGGGACAGAGGGACAGGGATGAGAGGACACAAGGGGGGACAGAGGGACAGGTGATCGAGGGGACACGGTCGGGGGGACAGGGGGAGGACAGAGGGACAGAGGGGACAGGCGAGGGGACACCAGGGGGGGGCACAGAGGGGACAGGTCAGGGGGACATTGAGGGGACACCGGGGGGACACCAGGGGGGACAGGGAGGGACAGGGACAAAGGGACACTAGGGGGGACACCGAGAGAGGGACAGGGAGGGGACAGAGGGGGGACACGGTCAGGGGGGACACCGAGGGGACAGGGACGAGGGGGAGGGGGACAGAGGGGACACGGTCAGGGGGACATTGAGGGGACAGGGGACACCGAGGGGACAGGGAGGGGACAGAGGGGACAGAGGGGACAGAGGGGACAGGGATGAGGGGACAGGGGTGGCCTTGGGGACATCGAGGGGGGACAGAGGGGACACAGGTGAAACAGGTAACCAGGTGACACAGAGGGGTGACATAGATGACACACAGGTGACACAGGTGACAGGGGTGACACTGGGGTGACACAGGTGACACAGGTGACACACAGATGACACGAGAGGTGACACAGAGATGCCAGGGTGCCACACCCACCGCCATGAGCCGGGCGTTGAAGCTGCGGTTGGGGGGTGGACAGGTGACACAGAGGGTGACACTGGAGGTGACACAGATGGTACAGGTGCCACACAGGTGACACTGGGGTGACACTGGGATGACACAGGTGTGACAGGTGACACAGGTGACACAGGTGCCAGGGGTGCCACACCCACCGCCATGAGCCGGGCGTTGAAGCCGCGGTTGAGCCGCTCGTTGGTGGCGTCGGATCCCGACATTTCCCGACGGAGCGAGAGGGACCCGCGGACGATCCCGCCCCGGGCCGAGGAGAGACACTGCAGGGACACCCCCCGCGCCTGCCATACTGGTTATACTGGTTATACTGGTTACACTGGTTACACTGGTGTACAGACACTGCAGGGACACCCCCCGCGCCTGCCATACTGGTTATACTGGTTATACTGGTTACACTGGTTACACTGGTTACACTGGTGTACAGACACTGCAGGGACACCCCCCGCGCCTGCCATACTGGTTATACTGGTTATACTGGTTACACTGGTGTACAGACACTGCAGGGACACCCCCCGCGCCTGCCATACTGGTTATACTGGTTACACTGGTTACACTGGTTACACTGGTGTACAGACACTGCAGGGACACCCCGCGCCTGCCATACTGGTTATACTGGTTATACTGGTTACACTGGTTACACTGGTGTACCAGACACTGCAGGGACACCCCCGCGCCTGCCATACTGGTTATACTGGTTATACTGGTTACACTGGTTACACTGGTGTACAGACACTGCAGGGACACCCCGCGCCTGCCATACTGGTTATACTGGTTATACTGGTTATACTGGTTACACTGGTGTACAGACACTGCAGGGACACCCCCCGCGCCTGCCATACTGGTTATACTGGTTATACTGGTTACACTGGTTACACTGGTGTACAGACACTGCAGGGACACCCCGCGCCTGCCATACTGGTTATACTGGTTATACTGGTTACACTGGTTACACTGGTGTACAGACACTGCAGGGACACCCCGCGCCTGCCATACTGGTTATACTGGTTATACTGGTTACACTGGTTACACTGGTGTACAGACACTGCAGGGACACCCCGCGCCTGCCATACTGGTTATACTGGTTATACTGGTTACACTGGTTACACTGGTGTACAGACACTGCAGGGACACCCCCGCGCCTGCCATACTGGTTATACTGGTTATACTGGTTACACTGGTTATACTGGTGTACAGACACTGCAGGACACCCCCGCGCCTGCCATACTGGTTATACTGGTTACACTGGTTACACTGGTGTACAGACACTGCAGGGACACCCCGCGCCTGCCATACTGGTTAGACTGGTTATACTGGTTATACTGGTTACACTGGTTACACTGGTGTACAGACACTGCAGGGACACCCCGCGCCTGCCATACTGGTTATACTGGTTATACTGGTTACACTGGTTGCACTGGTGTACAGACACTGCAGGGACACCCTCGCGCCTGCCATACTGGTTATACTGGTTATACTGGTTACACTGGTTACACTGGTGTACAGACACTGCAGGGACACCCCCCGCGCCTGCCATACTGGTTATACTGGTTATACTGGTTATACTGGTGTACAGACACTGCAGGGACACCCCCCGCGCCTGCCATACTGGTTATACTGGTTATACTGGTTATACTGGCTGTACAGACACTGCAGGGACACCCCCCGCGCCTGCCATACTGGTTAGACTGGTTATACTGGTTACACTGGTTACACTGGTTACACTGGTGTACAGACACTGCAGGGACACCCCGCGCCTGCCATACTGGTTATACTGGTTATACTGGTTACACTGGTTACACTGGTGTACAGACACTGCAGGGACACCCCCGCGCCTGCCATACTGGTTAGACTGGTTATACTGGTTATACTGGTTAGACTGGTGTACAGACACTGCAGGGACACTCCCCGTGCCTGCCATACTGGTTAGACTGGTTATACTGGTTACACTGGTTACACTGGTGTACAGACACTGCAGGGACACCCCCTGCGCCTGCCATACTGGTTATACTGGTTATACTGGTTACACTGGTTACACTGGTGTACAGACACTGCAGGGACACCCCCCGCGCCTACCATACTGGTTATACTGGTTATACTGGTTATACTGGTTACACTGCAGGGACACCCCCCCTGTGCCTGGGGACCCCAGTCCCTCCCAGTGCCCTCCCAGTGCCCTCCCAGTGCTTCCCAGTGCACTCCAAATACCCTGCAGGCCCCCCAGTAACCCCAAATTTCCCCCAGCCCCGCACTGGTCCATACTGGTCTATACTGGTTTATACTGGTTTATACTGGTCTATACTGGTCTGACCTGCAGCGGTGCCAGCTGCTGCACCAGCGTGTCCCAGCATCCTCCCAGTGTCCCCAGTGTCCCCCCATGTCCCCCAATTCCCTCTCTGTTCCCCCCCAGCCCCGCACTGGCCCATACTGGTCCATACTGGTTTATACTGGTCCATACTGGTCCATACTGGTCCATACTGGTCTATACTGACCTGCAGCGGTGCCAGCTGCCTCACCAGCGCGTCCCCATGTCCCCCATTTTCCCCTCTGCTCCCCCCCAGCCCCACACTGGCCCATACTGGTTTATACTGGTCTATACTGGTCTATACTGGTCCATACTGGTTTATACTGGTCTATACTGGTTTATACTGGTCTATACTGGTCTGACCTGCAGCGGTGTCCCCATGTCCTCCCAGCGTCCCCTGTGTCCCCCAATTCCCTCTCTGCTCCCCCCCCAACCCCACAGCCCCATACTGGTTTATACTGGTCTATACTGGTTTATACTGGTTTATACTGGTCTATACTGGTTTATACTGGTCTGGTTTATACCTGCAGCGGTGCCAGCTGCCTCACCAGCACATCCTTCCAGTGTCCCCCAATTCCCTCTCTGTCCCCCCCAGTCCCGCAGTGGTCTATACTGGTCCATACTGCTCTATACTGGTTTATACTGGTCTATACTGGTCTATACTGACCTGCAGCGGTGCCAGCTGTCTCACCAGCGCGTCCCCGAGGGCGGCGGGGTCGAGGGGCAGGCGGGGGTCGTGGCCCAGGCCCAGCAGGAGCTGCGCGGCCACCGCGGCCACCGCCCGGGCCAGCGCCGGGAGCCGCCCCCGCAGCCGCCCCCCCAGCCGGCCCAGCGTGTCCTCGGGGGTCCCAGAGCCGCCCTGGACCCCCGGCAGCCTGGGGGACAATGAGAGGGGACACCGTCAGAGCGGGGGACACAATGGGAGCAGCCGCCCCCAGCCGGCCCAGCGTGTCCTCGGGGTCCCCAGAGCTGCCGAGGACCCTCTGGCGGCCTGGGGGACAATGAGGGGGACATGGTAAAGGAGGGGACAATGGGGAGCAGCCACCCCCAGCCGGCCCAGCGTGTCCTCGGGGTCCCCAGAGCAGCTGGGACCCTCGGTGGCCTGGGGGACAATGGGGGGGCATCATCAGAGGGGGACACCATCAGAGGGGGGACACGGGGTGCTTGGGGACAATGGGGAGGACATGGTAAAGGGGGACACAATGGGGGAGCAGCCGCCCCCCAGCCGGCCCAGCGTGTCCTCAGGGGTCCCCAGAGCCACTCGGACCCTTCTGGCGGCCTGAGGGGACAATGAGGGGGACATCATTAGAGGGGGGACACCATCAGAGGGGACACACGGGGGTGCTTGGGGACAATGGGGAGCAGCCGCCCCCAGCCGGCCCAGCGTGTCCTCGGGGTCCCCAGAGCTGCCGGGACCCCCCGGCGGCCTGAGGGGATAATGAGGGGGACACCCTCAGAGAGAGGGGACATGGGGGGGTGCTTGGGGGCAATGGGGAGGGTTGGGGACATGGGGGGACACGGGGGATGCTTGGGGACAATGGGGGGTTGGGGACAAGGGGTGTTGCAGGGACACGGGGGGTTGAGGACAAGGGGGTAGGGGCAGTTGGGGACAAGGGGTGGCAGGGACACCGGAGGGGGCTGGTAGGGTAGTTGGGGACAAGGGGCAGGGACAGTTGGGGACAATGGGGGGTTGAGGACAAGGGGGACACGGAGGGGACCTGGGGTGGTGACACGGGGGTATAGAGGGGTGGACACTGGGGGACACAGGGGGGCACAGGGAGGGACAAGGGGGTGACACGGGGGGACATAGAGGGACACGTGGGGACACAGGAGGGGACACAGGGGGTCATAGGGGGGACACGGGGGGACACAGGAGGGGACACCAGAGGGGACATGGAGGGGGTGACACGGGAGGGGAGGTGACACAGGGGGGTCACAGTGGGGGAACTGGGTGGTGACACCGGGGGAACATGGGGGTCACAGGGGGTCACACAGGGGGTGACACGGGGAGGTGACACAGTGGGAGTCACTGGGGGGACATGGGGTGGTGACAGGGGGTATAGAAGGGTGGGACACTGGGGGGACATGGGGGCACAGGGGGACAGTGGGGAAAAAGGGGGTGACACAGGGGGGACACAGGAGGGGACACAGGGGGACACAGGGAGGGGACACAGGGGGGACATGGGGGACTGGGGGGACACAGGGGGTGACACGGGGGGGACACAGGGAGGGGACATGGGGGACAGAGGGGGCCACAGGGAGAGGACAATGGGGGTGACACAGGGGAGGTGACAAGGGGGGACAGAGGGGGCCACAGGGAGAGGACAATGGGGGGTGACACAGGGAGGGGACATGGGGGACAGAGGGGCCACAGGAGAGGACAATGGGGGTGACACAGGGAGGTGACAAGGGGGGACATTGGGGAGGGACAGAGGGGGACACAGGAGGTGACACAGGGGGACATGGGGGTCACAGGGGGACACAGGGGGTCCCAGGGTGGGGGTCCCAGGGTGGGGGTCCCACCTCGTCAAAGCCGAGCTCCAGCGCAGGGACCCCGGCCGCCGTGAAGGGGAAGGCGCCGCTGTCGGGGCAGCGGGCGGATCCTGGGGAGGGGGGACAGGGGGTGACAACGGGACAGGTGGGGGACACCCAGGGGGACACCCAGGGGACCCAGGTGTGTCCCCAGACCCCCAGGTGTCCCCAGACCCCCCAGGTATTCCCAGAGCCCCCAGGTGTCCCCAGACCCCCAGGTGTCCCCAGACCCCCCAGGCATTCCCAGACCCCCAGGTGTCCCCAGACCCCCAGGTGTCCCCAGACCTCCCCAGGTATCCCCAGACCCCTCCAGGTGTCCCCAGACCCTCCAGGTGTCCCAGACCCCCCCAGACCCCCCCAGGTATCCCCAGACCCCTCCAGGTGTCCCCAGACCCCCAGGTATCCCCAGACCCCCAGCCCCCAGGTGTCCCCAGACCCCTCCCAGGTGTCCCCAGGTGTCCCCAGACCCCCAGACCCTCCAGGTTTCCCAGAACCCCCCAGGTGTCCCCAGACCCCCAGGTGTCCCCAGACCCCCAGGTGTCCCCAGACCCCCAGGTGTCCCCAGACCCCCAGGTGTCCCCAGACCCCCAGGTGTCCCAGGTGTGTCCCCAGACCCCCCAGGTGTCCCCAGACCCCCAGGTGTCCCCAGGTGTGTCCCCAGACCCCCAGGTGTCCCCAGACCCCCAGACCCCCAGGTGTCCCCAGACCCCCAGGTGTCCCCAGACCCCCCAGGTGTCCCCAGACCCCCAGACCCCCTCAGGTGTCCCCAGACCCCCAGACCCCCTCAGGTGTCCCCAGACCCCCAGCCCCCCAGGTGTCCCCAGACCCTCCAGGTGTCCCCAGGTGTGTCCCCAGCCCCTCCCCCAGCCCCTCCCCCACTCACACGTCGCTCTCCCAGCCCCTCCCCAACTGCTCCAGGAGGCTCTTCCCGCCCTCCTTGGGGCTTTCCACCTTTTTGGGAGTCGTGAGGGTGAGGGGGTCTCACCCTCCCCTTCCCCCTCCCCACCCCCCACCCCTCCCCACCTGCCCCAGGGCGCTCCACCAAATTCACCAACGTGGGGCTCGTCCTCACCACGAACCTGTCGGCACCTGGGGGGTCAGGGGGTGGGTGGGTCTGGGGGTGGGGAAGGAGGGGTGACCCTCCCCAGTTTAGGGGGTGGGGAGGAGTCGCACCCAGCACGGCGCGGTCCAGGCTGATGTAGGCGGCCACTTTGGTGTGGAGGAGGGAGGGGTAGCCCTAAAGGGGGAGGGAGGGGTTGGTTGGGGTGTGGGGGTCTTGGGGGTCGTGGGGATGGGAGAGGGTCGTTCAGGGTCACCTCGAGCCACTCAGTGGCCCCAAATGTCCGAACTCGGCCCCGTCCCAGCTGACGAAGAGGAGGGTCCGGCGGAGCTGGAAACCTTGGGGGAGGGGATTTTGGGGGTTTTGGAGGAGAGGAGGGGTTGGAGACCCCTCTTCTCCCCTCCCCCATCAGGGTGGGAGAGAGCCACAGGATGGGGAAGCCCAGGTGATGGAAGGATTTTGGGGGAGGGGTCTCCAACACCCCACAGAACAACTTTCACCCTCCCCCCAAGTTTGGGACCCTCCCAACCCCCACCCCAAAATTTTGGAGACCCTCCCCTCTCAATAATTTGGATACCCCTCCCCCAAAAAGTTTGGGACCCTCCCAACCCCCACCCTGGCTCCTCCCCAAATTTTGGGGACCCCTCCCTCTCCCCTCAATAATTTGGATACCCCACCCCAAAAAAGTTTGGGACCCTCCCAATCCCCACCCTGAAAATTTTGGGGCCCCTCCCCTCAATAATTTGGATACCCCTCCTCCCAAAAAGTTTGGGACCCTCCCAACCCCCACCCTGGGTCCTCCAAAATTTTGGGGACCCCTCCCCTCCCCTCAATAATTTGGATACCCCTCCCCCAAAAAAAGTTTGGGACCCTCCCAACCCCCACCCTGAAAATTTTGGGGCCCCCTCCCCCTCAATAATTTGGATACCCTCCTCCCAAAAAGTTTGGGACCCTCCCAACCCCCACCCTGGGTCCTCCAAAATTTTGGGGGACCCCTCCCCCCCCCTCAATAATTTGGATACCCCTCCCCAAAAATTTTGGGACCCTCCCAACCCCACCCCTGGCTCCTCCAAAATTCTTGGGGACCCCTCCCCCTCCCCCTCAATAATTTGGATACCCCTCCCCAAAAGTTTGGGACCCTCCCAACCCCACCTTGGTTTGGGACCCTCCAACCCCCACCCCAAAATTTTGGAGACCCCTCCCTCAATAATTTGGATACCCCCATTGCCCCCCAAGAATTTGGATACCCCCAATAATTTGGATACCCCCTTTGACCCCCCTCAATAATTTGGATACCCCCATTGACCCCCAAGAATTTGGATACCCCCAAAATTTGGATACCCCCTTGACCCCCAATAATTTGGAGACCCCCATTGACCCCCTCAATAATTTGGATGCCCCCATTGACCCCCAAAGTTTGGATTCCCCCATTGACCCCCTCAATAATTTGGATACCCCCTTTGACCCCCAATAATTTGGATACCCCCAAAATTTGGATACCCCCTTGACCTCCCAAGAATTTGGGTACCCCATTGACCCCCAATAATTTGGATACCCCGTCATTGACCCCCTCAAGAATTTGGATACCCCCTTGACCCCCCTCAATAATTTGGATACCCCCATTGGCCCCCAAAATTTGGATACCCCCAAAATTTGGATACCCCCCATTGCCCCCCCAAATTTGGATACCCCCCATTGACCCCCAAAAACCCCCCAAAACATCAGAGAATCGACCCCCCTTTAATTTCCCACTTGGCCACGCCCACCCTCAAGCCACGCCCCCTTGACCACGCCCACCCTGTGACCACGCCCCCCAGGCCACGCCCCCTCACCCTCTCGGCCAATGGCAGCGAAGAACCGGGCGAGCTCGAGCAGGAGGGCGGTGCCAACCCCCGAGGCCGCCGCCCCCGGGCCCAGCGAATCCCGTTGGGCCCCCACGATGACGTAACAGTCTGGGAAGGGGGCGTGGTCAGAGAGGACACGCCCACCCAAAATGGCCACACCCAAAAGTAACCACACCCTAAATTGACCACACTCAAAATTGGCCACGCCCTAAACTGACCACACCCCAAATTGACCACACCCAAATCTGCCACACCCTAAATTAGCCACACCCCAAATTGGCCACACCCACTTTGACCACACCCAAAACTTGACCACACCCAAAATTGACCACACCCTAAAATTGACCACACCCTAAATTGGCCACACCCCAAATTGGCCACACCCCAAATTAACCACGCCCCCAAATTGACCACACCCTAAATTGGTCACACCCAACCAGACCACACCCAACATTGACCACACCCCAAATTGACCACACCCACTTGGACCACACCCTAAATTAACGACACCTCAAACCAACCACACCCCAAAATTGACCACACCCCAAATTGACCACACCCTAAGTTAACCACGCCCCAAAATTGGTCACACCCACTTTGACCACACCCCAAATTGACCACACCCCAAATTGATCACACCCCAAATTGACCACGCCCTGATTGGCCACGCCCCCTCCTTTTGACCCCGCCCCTGCCCCCCGAGGCCCGCCCCTCCCCTCTCAAGCCTCCGCCCCTCACCGGGCTCGAGCCGCCCCGCAGGGTCCCGAAGACGCTGGTGAGGGTCCCGGCTCCGTCCCCCACCTGAAGCTGCAGCGCCGCCCCGGCCCGGCAGGAACTGCAGGGACCCCCGGACCCCGGGCAGGGAACCAGTGGGGGCGCAGGCTCCCAGGACCCTGGAATGAGGGGGGACAATTAGGGCATAGAACCCCCTTTGGGACCCCCAGACCCTTCAGGGACTCCCGGGACCCCCGGGGCAGGAACCAGTGGGGGCACGGGGACCCCAGGACCCTGGAATGGGGAGAGGGGGACAATCGAGGCATGACCCCTTTTTGGGGACCCCCAGACCTTCAGGGACCCCCTGGGACCCCCAGGGCAGGAAACCAGTGGGGGCGCGAGGACCCCCAGGACCCTGGAATGGGGACAATTAGGGCATGAACCCCCCCTTTGGGGACCCCCCAGGACCCTGGAATGGGGAGGGGACAATCAGGGCATGACCCCGCTTGGGACCCCAGGACCCTTCAGGGACCCCCCAGGACCCTGGAATGGGGAGAGGGGGGGACAATTAGGGAACAACCCCCACTTTGGGGACCCCCCCAGGACCCTGGAATGGGGAGGGGGAGGGGGACAATCAGGGTATGAACCCCCCCCTTTGGGACCCCCCAGGACCCTGGAATGGGGAGGGGGGACAATCAAGGCATGACTCCCTTTGGGGACCCCAGACCCCTCTTGGGACCCCCAGGACCCTGGAATGGGGAGGGGAGGGGGACAATCAGGGTATGACCCCTTGGGACCCCCAGAAACCTTCAGGGACCCCCCAGGACCCTGGAATGGGGAGGGGGAGGGGGAACAATCAGGGCACGACCCCCCCCCTTTGGGGACCCCAATTATTTTTGGGGGGGAGATCCCAACTATTTTTGGGGGGTCCCAGCAATTTTGGGGGAGATCCCAACTATTTTTGGGGGTCCCAACTATTTCTGGGGGTCCCAGCTATTTTTGGGGGTCCCAACCATTTTTGGGGGGTCCCAACTATTTTAGGGGGTCCCAGTTATTTTGGGGGGTTCCATCTATTTCTGGGGGTCCCAGCTATTTTGGGGGTCCCAGTTATTTTAGGGGAGTCCCAGCTATTTTTGGGGGGTTCCATCTATTTTTGGGGGGTCCCAACCATTTTGGGGGCATCCCAATTATTTTTGGGGGTCCCAGCTATTTTTCGGGGGTCCCAGCTATTTTTGGGGAGATCCCAGCTATTTTTGGGGGGTCCCAGCTATTTTTGGGGGGTCCCAACTATTTTTGGGGGGTCCCACCTATTTCTGGGGGTCCCAGCTATTTTTGGGGGTCCCAGCTATTTCTTGGGGGTCCCAGCTATTTTTGGGGGGTCCCAGCTATTTTTGGGGAGATCCCAATATTTTTGGGGGTCCCAGCTATTTTTGGGGGTCCCAGCTATTTTTGGAAGCTATTTTTGGGGGGGTCTCGAGTATTTTTCGGGGTCCCACCTATTTTTTGGAGGTGGGGTCCCAGCTATTTTTGGGGGGTCCCAGCTATTTTTGGGGGTCCCAGCTATTTTTTGAGGGGGCATCCCAATTATTTTTGGGGAGGGTCCCAGCTATTTTTTGGGGTCTCCCAGTTATTTTTGGGGGGTCCCAGCTATTTTTGAGGGGGGTCCCAGCCATTTTTGGGGGTCCCAGCCATTTTGGGGGTCCCAGCTATTT